CCGCGTCGAGGTGGCCGGCGGGGAGCGGAGCTCAGGCCCCCGCCGCTGTCTCGGGGAGGCTGCTGAGCAAACCCAGCCTCGTCCCCGCTGCCGTGGCCCGGTTGCCTCCCGCAACCCCGGGAGGGCACGACCCAGCCGTCGGACAGCCCTGACCTAGTTCTCATTCAAGTGGCTGCTGGGCAGCTGCCAGGGCGAGCGTCCTGCGGCTGGCAGCGCCCGGCCCAGCCCGTGGAGGAAGGGGTTGAGTTTATTTTCAGAGCTGCTGGAGCCCGGTAGCCCCCGTTTGAAATCCCTCCTTGTTCCCCTGCTCTAGTTCGATGACTTCTCCCGGGATCTGTGTGTCCAGTCGCTCTTGGAGATCATGGACATGTTCTGCGACCGCCTCAGGTACAGTGTGGCCCTTCCAGCCCTGCTGCCTCAGCCCCAGGCTCTGCTGTGGGTGGTTTCAGGAGCCGGTGGGGCCTGGCTGAGCCCCGGGGCGCTCGCCCTGGCAGAGGGAGGCAGGTTCCCCCCCCCAGCTCTGTGGCCGTTGCTGCCCCGGGCTGGGCTGTTCCACCAGTTTCAGCGTGGGCAGAGCCATGGGAGTCCAAAACCCCACCAGCTTTGTGGGAAGCTGCAAAAAAACCCACCTACTCTGGGCTAAACGTCTCCACTGGGTGTTCCTGCCCAGCTCAGGTAGATGGGGTGGGTATAAGCCCCGTGACCTGAGGATGTCTGTCCCCTCAGAGCATTTTTGTGTCTCTTTTGTGGCCTCTGCATCTTCCCAGGGCCCCGGCGACGTGTCCCCGTCTGCCAATGCTCGCAGTCCTGCCTCGCTGCTCCAGGCAGCTGCCTTGTTTTGCTTCGTGCTCTTCCGCTGGTGTTGCAGGACCCAGGGGAGTCCAGACAATTCAGGCCACAAAAACTTTTTTAGAAAGCTCAAAAATCTTCCTGTTAACCCCTGACAGCCTCTTCTGGGAGGCCGGAGCGGAGAGCACGTGGCGGGGGGCAGCGGGAGGAGGAAAGCTGAAGGTAGCAGCTCTTCAATTACATGAAATGAAGCAGCAGCAATGAATATGCATCAGTCACAGATGTTGACAAGGAGCTGTTGCTGGCCAACTGCAGAGCCGGCCACTTAATCCAGTCCCTGCCTAATCTGATCCTCTGCTTAATTTGATCAAAACTTCTGGCCCCAATGATTTGTGCATCAGGAGGGGAAAGCGTTCACCTCTCACAGCACATTGATCGATGCTGAGCCTCTCTTAGTGAGATAATTTGATTAGAGGCTTGGAAAGTTTCCCTGGAGTAGAGTGGCCAGAGAGGAGGCTGCGCTGGGGGAGACAGGCGCAGTGGGGATGCTCGTGGGCTGAGCAGGTCGGGAGCCGCGGGCAGGCTGGGCTGCCAGCAGGGGATGTGGGTTTGGATTGCCCGGCCTGCCCTGTTCCCCTGCCTCAGTTTCCCTGGGGGCAGCAGGTGAGCACGGTCCCGTTTCTCTCCCTGTCCCAGCTGCCACGGGAAAGCAGAGGAGTGCATCAGCCTCTGCCGGGCGCTGATGAGTGCCCTCAACTGGCTCCTGCGCTGCGCGGCCTTCTACACCGAGAAGGTGAAGGAGACGCTGGAGCAGGCGGCAGCCGAGAGCCAGCTGAAGATGTGTCTGGAGCGGCTGGAGAAGATGCTCAGCAGCACCAAGAACCGTGCCCTGATCCACATCGCGAAGCTGGAGGAGACGTGTATGTTGGTGTCCCTGCCCTGCCCGCGGCCGCTGTCACGGCTTCCTCCCAGTCGCCGCCGGCCCTGGGGAGCTGTCAGTGCCACCTCTCCCTTCCCCCTGCCCCGCTCCTGCCGCATTGTCCCTGCAGCTCCAGGCCCATCCATCTTCCAGCCCTGTTGCTGTAACCGGCTCCTCCCTGGCTCCGTGCCACCCTCTGCCCCCTCCCCTCGTGCTGCCCTTGGAAGAGGAGCAGAATTAATGGGAAGGCTGCGTGAGCCGTTCCCGGGCACGCGGCGGGTCCTGCGCTGCGCCAGCGTGCCTGGCGTGGCTCGGCACCTTCGGCTGGTGCCTGTGTCTGGCCGAGAGGCTGTGCCGGGCCGAGCCCGAAGCGGGAGCTGCTGGGCGGCAACGCAGACCCTCGCCTCGGGGTCGCAGAGGTGCACCCACTTCTGCTCACCGTGGGGCCCGGCGAGGAGCCCCAGCCTTGACAGGGCTCTGCGCTGGGGTGGGCCTTGGAGCCGGCCTGCCTGGCTCCTCAGCCTGTCACTGTCCCCCCCCCCGAGTGCCTGCTTTCCCTCCCCAGCGTCCTGGAGCACCGTGGAGCAATCCCTCCTCAAGTTGGGGGAGAACCTGAACAGCCTCAGCAACTCCCCACTGCGAAGCCAGGCTGACAACTGCGTCTCCCTCATCAAGAGGTAGCTTTGTGCTGCTCTCTCTCTGGGCTCGGAGGGTAAAATGGCTCTGAGCCCTGCGCCGGGCGCTGAGAGCCTCCTGCCTCCCTCCATGCTGGCTCTCTGCTTTCCTGCCCCTTCCCGGCTCGGACCCCGGCACCGGGCTGGGGCTGGCGAGAGGCCCTGGGGTAGGAGTGGGGATGGGGCTAGTGGTGACTTGCTGCGGAGGAGCCTTACCCGGGGCTTGTTCCTCGGGTGACCCTGAGGCCTCTAGCTGTCCCTCAGCTGCTCTGGCCACACCAGAGCTGCTGTCTCTGCTCCCGGGGCCGTGGCTGCGCCTGAGGGCTCTTCTGCAGGGCACGGGGGCTACGGGCTGTCCTGCCCCAGAGAGACGCAGGGCAGCAAAGGTCAGGGGCTTGGCCAGGAAAGGAAAATGGGCCAGGAGGAGCAAGGATCCCTCCCTGCAAAGCTCCAGCGACCCTGTGCTCTTGTCTCCTGCCCAGCATCCCCACCATGCTCTCGGTGCACTCGGAGCAGCTGAACAAGACCGGCTTCCCCACCGTGCACGCCGTGGTGCTGCTGGAGGGGACCATGAACCTCACGGGAGACACCCAGCCACTGGTGGAGCAGCTGATGATGGTGAAGAGGATGCAGGTACTGAAAGTGGCATCTTGTTCTCCTGCTCAGGGTGACCTGGGGCTGTGGGACCGGGGCCTCGAGCAGCTCTGGGCTCTACCTCCCCGTGCTGATCCTGGCCCAAGGGTACAGGTGGGGAGCAGTGGGAGCCCACCAGCACTTTCATGGGGGGCTCCGGGTTTGGCTGAGGTTGGGGGAGGCGCTTTATTACGCGTCCAGCACTTGGAGGGGTTTATCTGTGTACCCCGCAGCACATTCCCTCCCCGCTGTTCGTGCTGGAGATCTGGAAGGCCTGTTTAGTGGGTCTCATCGAGTCCCCGGAGGGCACGGAGGAGCTGAAGTGGACAGCCTTCACCTTCCTGAAGGTAGGGCCCAGCCCCGGGCCTGCCTGCAGCTGCCTTTCCCCACACGCCCGGCCCCTGCCGAGCCCCGAACCCTTGGCAGAGCAATTAGTTCCCCTCTCTCTCAGCGTGGCCCCTCAGGGTCCCCCCACGCCCTGGCTGAGCCCTCGGCGACCCGCTGAGCTGTCCAGGGCCTCTTTTCAGCCCAGCCCCACTTTGTCTTGCCGAGTGACTTTCCTGGGATGCTCTGGGGGAAATCGTGGCCTTTGAAGGATGCCACAGCAGCCGCGGGGCCTGCGCTCCCAGAGCTCTGCGGTGGGCAGCCCCGGGGCAGTCTGCTTCACCTCCCTTCTTTGTACCAGACAAAAGGGATCTGCGGGTAGTTCCAGGCCTGACACATGCTCTGGCTCCTCCGCAGCCTCATCCCCTGCCTGGCTGTGGAGAGGTGGCCGTGCCCTGGGGCTCCCCGGGCTGTGGAAGGACAGTGCAGAGGGGAGACAGGGACACAAAAAAGTCCCCGGGGGCGCACAGGCTGCCTCAGAAATGGTCTTTTCCCTGGGCTGGGAGCGCAGCTGCTTGCGGGTGTGTTTCGTGTGGGCCCGGCCCCTGCTGCCCGTGTTGCTGGGAGGTCCTGACTGCAGATCAGGCTCTGCCTGGGTCGGTCACGTCCATGCTCTTTGTTTTCCAGATCCCCCAGGTTCTGGTTAAACTCAAGAAGTATCCCCAAGGGGAGAAGGTGAGTCTTGAGGGCTGTTTGTTACGATGGTGCTGGTGCCTGGCCAGAGCTGCGTGGGGGTGGCCGGGGTAGGAAACAGTCCCAACAACCTTCCTCCAGCAGACAGGGCAGCGTGGGAGGGGAACCTGGGCTGGTGTTGGCCGTGCTCCGAACTGAGCGCCTGGCTTTGTGCACGGCAGGACTTCACCGAGGACGTGAACTGTGCCTTCGAGTTCCTGCTGAAGCTGACCCCGCTGCTCGACAAAGCAGATCAGCGATGCAAGTGAGCACTCGCCCTGCCCGGGCCTGACCACCAGCACTGAGAGCCTGTGGCCACAACCACCCCATCCTCTCTGCGAGGAGCTGCCCTAAGGGTGGCCAGGGCAGCTCCTGGCAAGGGTTTCTGATTTCAGAAAATTTCTGATCCGGTTCCTTCTTCCTGAGGACCTGATGCTGCCGAAGGAGCAAGGCAGCGAGTGTCTGCCATCTGATGGGCGGGTTGGGGATGCTTTGTGCTCTCTGGAGCTGCTTTCGGCCCCGCAGCATCCTCAGGGGGGTGGGAGCAGGGCTGGGAGGGCTACCCGGGAGTCCCCCCCGCCCTGTGGCACAGAAACAGTGGCCCTTGGGCTAGTGCTTTCCTCTCTCTTCCAGCTGCGACTGCATGAGTCTCCTCCTGCAGGAGTGTGGCAAGCAGGGGCTGCTTTCAGAGGCCAACATGACTAACCTGACCGACAAACGGTACAGCCCCCTCAAAAGTCTGGGAAACCGAGTGGGGTTGGCACCTCATCCCGCTGTCCTTCTGCGGGGGCGGGAGCATAAAGGACCAGCTGTGATGTCCTGCAGCCGGGACGCCGTGGTCTGGAGGGATGAGGCTTTGCTTTTGGTGACAGACTGAGTACAAAGTCTGTCCTCTCACGGCGGGCAGCTGGTGGCGGCCTTCCCTCGGGGGGTGCCGACGGTAGAGGTGGGTGGGAGGTGACGGGAGTGTGGGCAGGGGTGAGGCAGGGTGATGGATTCCCGCTCACTGGCTCCTCTTCGGGGCTCCCCCAGGACGGAGGACAGAAAGCACGCGCCCTGCTTGAAATCGGCAGAGAATGCCAACATCCAGCCAAACCCGGGGCTCATCCTGAGGGCCGAGCCGACTGTCACCAACATCCTCAAGGTGAGTCCCCTCCTGCGTCCGTGCTGCGCAAGGGGGGCTCAGCCCCAGCGCCTGTTTCCAGCAGCACCAGTCTCACCAGGCAGCCGGGGCAGTGGTGAGGTGCTTGACCTCCCCTGCATGGGGGTGGAGGAGTGGAGGGATCACTCCCAGCCTGGCCGCTGTGCCGTGGGGACCGGGAGCTCCCCTCCTGCTGCCCGGGAAGCCGGAGGAGCCGTCCTGCGGCCTGTAAGCGGTGCCAGCAGCCCCAGCCCAGCCAGCTCTGCCCGTCCCGCTCAGCCACATCCCGCGTCCACCTCTCCCAGTTCCCAGGGACTCCCCCATCCCCATGTCGCTGGTTGCCTTGCGGCTGCTGAGCACCAGGGGATGTTTTGCTGCTGGTTGTGCTGCTGCCCTGATGCGCTGCAGCTCTCCCCTGCGCCGGGCCCTGCGGTGCCTGCGGCAGGGAGGGCTCTGTCCCCCTCCCTGAGCCCTGCGGGTCACTGCTCACCGAGGTCAGCTCTGCCCCGGTGGCCGGAGTGTTGCTGCTGCTCTGCAGCACACTTTCTCCCTGACTTTTTTTATTTTCTCCTCTATTTTTTTTTTGTAGACCATGGATGCGGATCACTCCAAGTCCCCTGAGGGCTTGCTGGGGGTCTTGGGTCACATGCTGTCTGGGAAGAGCCTGGACTTGCTGCTGGCAGCGGCAGCAGCGACCGGCAAGCTGAAATCCTTTGCTCGGAAGTTCATCAAGTGAGTGTCCACCTGGACAAGGCTGTCCCTGGTGTCTGGCGGGGCTGGAGTGAGCGGGCAGCCCCCCAAACTCTCCCCCAGGCAGGGTTGGATGAGCCTCTGGGCCAGTGTCTGTGCAGTGCTGGATCCAGCAGAGCCCCGGGGAGGGCTGGGATCTCAGGGGAGCTGCCCCCCCTCTCCCAGCACCCCATCTCCTTTGCTTCTGCGTCAGTGGGGCAGAGGATCCAAGTCAGGTTGGTTTAAGAGTATTAAGAGAGCTGAAAGCACCAGCCCAGCCCCGCACCCAGGGCACTTGCTCTTCAGTCCCCAACGCCGGCACCCTGGTTCGAGCACAGGCCCCAGCGTGCGTGGGGCGGCGGGATGTGAGTCCTCCAGCGGGGGAAGCCCGAGGCAGCTCCGACCCTGCCGCGCTCCCAGAGCCCCGGAGCGCCGGGC